AGATTAATTTGCCAGAAATTACACACTAAAAGTCATTGTGGGACCCAAGCAATGGTAGATGCTATGAGAATGGTATGGTATGAAGCAGGAGCCTATAGTGAGGCAACAAGGGTGGCAAGCACCTGTAAAACCTGCCAGGAAAATAACACCATCTCCAGAAAATCCATCTATGAAGGAGGAAGATCCTGGTCGCAAAGTCCTTTTGAGAAAATACAAATGGACTACATACAGTTACCAAGGGCAAATGGGTACCAGTATGTTCTTGTATGCAGGGACCAACTAACACACTGGGTGGAGGCCTTCCCATGCCGTGCCACAGCCCTTGAAACAGCCATACATCTCCTTAAAGATATTGTGCCCAGATTTGGGGTACCCAGTGTTCTGGACATGGATAGGGGCAAACATTTCATAGCTCAGCTCCTCACCCATATATTCCAAGCCCTTGGCATCACCCAAAACCTCCACGTGCCATATCACCAACTTCTTCTGGGGGGACAGAGAGAACAAACAAAGAGGTGAAGACCCTACTGGGCAAACTCTGCCAAGAGACAAATCTCTCTTGGCTGCAAGTGCTACCAATTGTGCTCTTTTATATTGGAACTAGACCCCAACAAGATATAGGAATTTCCCCCTTTAAATCCTCTTTGGTCGTCCTCTTGACATATTACAAGGCCTAGACCCCCCCAATCCCTCAGCTTAGATAAGGGGGATAAGGTTCTCTCATCTTATCTTACAGCTCTACACAAAAGACTACAGATCCTGTGGACGCAGAGTGCCTTGACATAGACACTACCCCTGGAAGAAGCCCTGAATCCCTTCAAACCAGGAGGTTGGGTGTGGATCAAACTCTTCACCAGAACCTCACCTTTGCAATCCAGGTGGAAAGGACCCTATCAAGTCTTGTTAACCACACAGACTGCCATCAAGGTTGCAGAGAAAGACTCCTGGATCCACTGGACACATGTGAAACCTGCTGTAGTGGATCACAGCCCACCTCAACCTCCTAAAGTGCCACCAGTGAAACTGAAAAAGAACCCAGAAACTGAACAGTGGACCCTGGAAAACTTCTTTAATATTTCACAAAATGGGGAGGGAGAAAACAATTGGAATTGTACTTTGTAAAACTATTTTTCTACTTACGCTTGTAACCTATGTAACACCATTCCTAGAACCCAATCTTTTTCCAGAGAAAGGGAATATTTAGGAGTATTTAGCTACTGTAATTTTCAACATTACAGACTTTTGCCTAGCTGGAAGAAAATCTATAACAGATACCCTCATAATATGTTTGATGGGAGTAGCATCAGCACCACAAGCTATCTTCAATCACATTAGACTCAAGGATTTTCAATTAGCAAATTCACTCTAGCATTTTTGACTGAGGACCCCCTTCGGACATGAAAGACCACACCATGTACACACTCCCAAGTTTCTGCAACCACTGATGCAGCCATATGTTTTAACCTCAGTGAATGCCACTCACCAAAGGTCTGTTGGAAGTTAAAACCCACCCCTTTCCTAGGAAAATGAAATATTTTAGGATATACTAAAAAGACAGAATATTTCCCTTAAAAAGAAAAGTAGAAACTCAGAGATGCAGAAACTCAGCCCTCCCCCACCTTTGTTAATGGATGGGCCATTAAGGCCTAGGCCAGAGTAGTCTACATAATAAAGGCCTCTGCCCAGCTCACCACCTGGTCTGGGAAGATTGCATCAGCCAGTATTCAGGTGAAGCCATGCAGTCCAAACAAAGCCTATGAAGTTAGCTAAGACCCCCGCCCCTGGGAGTCTGAAAGCCAATGGGATACATTTTTTGCACAGGAACAGGAAACACTAAGGTGGGGCCCAACAGAGGTTATAAAACTAAGGGTCTCTCAGCATCTCAGCCTTTTTTCCTTCTTTCTTCACCCAGGGCATGTGATCCTGTCCACCATTAAACCATCTTTCACAGCAGTCACCATGTTTCCAGTCTTTCTTCCCCACTTGGAATTGAACCCAGAAGGCTATTTCTTCCAACAGGTTCAAGAATGCACCAACCTAAATCACACAGGCTTTACATGCAACCACACAGAAATGATTCCATTTTCTTACAACTATATAAAGCTCCCTCCTGGTTGGTTTATACTCTGTGGATTAAGGGCTTACTCCTACCTCCCAGCTAATTTTACAGTGGGACCTTGCATCTTAGGAACATTAGCCATATTAATGCCATCATTACAGAGATGACACAAGAGAACTTTTCACACCTTGGCCTCTGTCTGTGACTCCAAAGTCTCTCTATTCACCAAAGCTGAGTATGTAGCATTGGCAGTACCACTAGTGGGAGTGCCAGGGCTGGCAACACAAAACTCTACAAACCTAAATAGCCTGGCATGTACCCTAGCAAAAAGTTTGAATTCGACCTCCCATGCCCTAGATGCCCTGAATAAGGAATTGAAGCAAGTCAGGCAAGCAACCCTGGAGAACAGAGTAGCTAGAGATTACCTCTTATTAGAACACAACCATGGCTGTGAAGAGTTTGAGGGAATGTGTTGCTTTGACTTACAAGAAAACTCAGGGTTCCCCTCCTTTTGACAAGATTAACCCCAGGACAGGAGAAAACCAGTATACTGAGCAAGATTAGACCAAAAGACAGGAAAATCAAAATCAGAGCAATCACCAAAACTAAAGAAACACGTATAATCCTTAAACTACACAAAAACTTCAAAGGAACTGTAGATGTGTCGCTTTGACTTAGAAGAAAACTCAGGGCTCATAGAAAAACATCTCAAAGAGCTGGCACAAAACATTGGACATAACCAATCCTCCTTAGATCTATCCTGTCTCTTTTCCTCACTACCAGACTTACATTGGCTGAAAGTCCTCATTTTAAGCATAATCGCAGTCACAACCATTGGACTTCTCCTGTGCTGTCTCTGTCACTCTATTCCCCCATGTCTCACTTGCCTTAAAAACTGTTGCTCCACCCCTTCAAGACAAATCACAAATGAAAAACAATTGGCTACAATGATGGTTCAAACTGACTATGACTACCAGGTATACTCTGATACTACACCAGATTGTGCTGGGGAGAAATATTAACACCAATTATTTGCCCCAGCCCAAAATGGGGGATTGTAGTAAGGTTTAGGGAGATATTACCCCAAAATTGACAGTGTCAGAACACTGAAAGAAGTAAAACAAGACTCTTTTTAAAAGAGCAAACCTCACAGAATCTAAAATAATTTCATTCAATAGATAAAGAGGCAAAGGCATAATCTTTAATTGAAAGACCAGACACATTGCCAAAAGGTGTTACACAGTCACAAAAAGAAACATAGACAAAGACTAAAAATAACAAACAAACAGGAGGCCCTGGAAAACTTCCAGAGGCCATCACTAGAAATAACAAAACATAGATTCCAGACAATACAAAAACAAACATTTATCTACACAAACTTCCTCCCCCTCCTTTTGACAAGATTAACCCCAGGACAGGAAAAAAACAGAATACTGAGCAAGATTAGACCAAGACAAGAAAACCAAAATCAGAGCAATCACTGTAACTAAAGAAACACCTATAATCCTTAAACTACACAAAAACTTCAACGGAATAAGATGTATAAAAATAAGAACTGGTATCTGTACAATTGGTCTGCAACCCAAGAATGCTCTTGCCTTCCTGAATAAAAGATCCCTTTCAGGCAACTCAAATTCTTTCTCCAAACCGTTGGTGTCAGCTCCCAGCTGAGAAACAAACTGGGCATTTCTTCCAACAGCTATATGCTACAGATTTAAGTAACTTTGCATATCTTTCATGAGGTTTCATGCTAAACTACCTTTAAAATGAAACTTTGTCTTTACTTTATTGATTAGTCATTGGGCCATATCAAAGTGCAGAGTTTCAGTCACAAATTATTACTAGAATCTGATAAAAACGATTTAAAATTGAATTGGATAAAATAAAATACAATTTAAAATGAAATTTGAATAAAATACAATATGTAAAATATAAAATTATATTTCAATATCACCCCTACAATCTACCCCAATCAGTCCCACATATGCTGATCTCAACCAAACCATTTACTCTATGTTAAATGTTATTTTCAGATTCTGGCTGCACATAAGTTGTTTTGATGTGGAAAATAGCTTCATGTGTCTCTTATCTTTAAGCTTCATGTGTTTATCTTTCCTACTAAATATCTAAATAATTACATGTAAAATTAATATTAGAATTTCATTCAAGTGAAATATATCTTTCTATATCTGAAAATACATTTATAGGACATGCACATCTCATGTGCAGTCAGTATGCCTGTATTATATGAATGCTCATCAAATGGATGTCATTTTAATTAAAAAGGCTCTTAATTAAAGACTAGCATCTGCTGAATCAGATGAATTTAAACACAGGCTCTCTAATCTGGTCTGCTCCAGATGTGCTTTTTAATTCCCATGCTAGTTAGGATGTCACACTGACTAGAGAGATCAGGACATAAGCACATGGGAAGGGCAGGGATTGAGGAAATGTGCTATCTGACCTTTTAAGTGGCCAGAACTGTATCCTATACTTACCAACTCAAGCATATGCCTACTCATTTACTCATCAGGAAATTTCATTCATTGTGCAACAATATTGGACCCTTTTTATTCAGTGCATGGTATTGCAGCCATCATACTAAGCAGGGCTTAATCCCTTATAAACATGCTCAAGAGCGGCGCCAGCCGCTGCCAGCACTCTGCAGCTTTTGTAAACGAACAAAAGAGATCTACAGCCGGTGTCCAAACAACCCACATATTCGTGCTTTCTTCTTGCTCTGAAACGACTCGGAAGGGGGAGAGGTTTATGCTCCTTTCCAATCCTTCGAGAAGTTCTCCCCTGGGCAGGTTTTGCCCATCCCCATCGATTTCCTCGCTCCGTCACCTCCACGTGTTCAGCTCCACCTCCTTTAGCTTGATGGCACGGCATTTATTGGGCCCTTGAAGGAATGGGGCCAGCAGCAACGAGGAAATCTACGCGCTTCGATCTCTTCGAGATCCGAGTACTTCTCAATTAATCGCCAGGATCGTCTGCGCTTGGGCCGCTCTTCCAATCCAAAGGCGTCTGCTCAGGCGCCACGAGCCAATCCGCCGTCAAGAGGTGGGCGGAGGCGGCAGAACAGCTGTCCAGGAAAGGTAGAGTGCGCGCCCAGAGCGCTGGTCTGCTGCCGCCGCCTCTCCAGTTGCCTCAGACCTCAAACTTCAAACGTAGACCGAGCCTGTGCAAAGGAACATGTATGGCGGCTGGAAAAGGCGAACGACGTGGTAAAGTCCAAGGCGCAATCCAGACTCGGATCTTTTCTTGGACTTGCCATGAATCATTGGCTCCTGCACCATCGTAATCCGAGGTAAGCTTTCCAAAAAGGACGGTCGCCTTGTAAGACTCAATCATTCATAGGGAGCTTCTTCTCAGTACGGAGATTCCACCTTAAGCTATATATTAAATGGAATGGGAGGAGAGCACGGATGTTGACGATTTCTTTAGCGCTTAACAAACCTTCTTTACGCGCGATCCTTCAGCAGCGAGTTGTGTCATTATGATTTCATAATTAATCATCAAACCCGATAAACCCTTTGCCACAGGACCTTCTAATAACGTGGCGCTGCTTGTTTTTTTTTCTAAAAAGGAGGGCTCACGCAGTGGCGGAGAATAATCAGAGTGGGTGGGAGAGGTTAACTAAGCGTGGCACGGAAGCATCAATCATTAAAGCAAACTTGGGGAACAGGAGGTTTCAACGTTCTTTTGAGAATGGTGCTGCATGATATTTCCCAGATATCCAGAATATAGTGATATTCTACAATTGATGAGGCATCACAACTCCACAGGATCATTTTTGTCCTAGAAATTTTGGAGTTCAGGTGTGCTCGGTGGTAGTGATGCCCTGTTGCAATGGCCATCTTTCCCAAATCTATTTTAATTTAATGATAAAGTCCCAAGAAAGTATGTTTTGGAAATATGCATGGCTTCAGAGAATGAGTTAAGGATGATCACTGATAAGGTGGTCATAGTTTGTCCTATGATGGGATGTATTTAGGTTACAATAATTCTTTTTATATTTTCATTTATAAATACTAGCCAACCTACACAAATATTATGAATATAAACATCCACTCTCTGCTTTTTGGACAGGGGTGTTTTTCTGACACTAATTGCTGAGCATGAACCAGAATGAGAAAAAGGAGTGGTGAAATACAATACTGAAAAGATGTTGATGAAGTGTAAGGTAAGGAATTTGAGGTATCACAATCAAGATGAATCAATAAATCAAATAACAAATTCTTAATGAACACAATAAGAAAAAATGGATGAAGAATTTACTGCATGTATTTAATTGAACTGCTGGAAATATCTACAATTATGAAATTGTCTGGATCAGCCAGAATGGTAGGTAGAGTAATTTCAACAACTGGGAAAATTTGATTGTCAAAATTACATGGTGAGTTGACTTCATAGTAGAAGGAGAAAATAGGATATGAATCAAAAACCTATGTCACAGCAAACTACACAAATGTAAAAAAGATAAATCTGACTAAAATTAATAATGTAAGTTGTTAAGAGTTGTTCCTTGTTTATATGTTCAGAAAAATCCAGTGTATGTGCACCTAACACAAATATAAAGTAGGTGGCATTGTTTGCAATTGATACAATTATAACATCACTTATGACTGATAGCAAAACTATTAGGAAACATACTATAATGTATATAAACGTCTGCAAAGTTTCCTGTGTATATTAAATAGACATCTGAAGAGTCTATATTTTATTTTTAATTTTGGTAGAGAATATGTTGAGCCAATTAAAATGTGTTTACTTTAGTAAATTTGATTAATTGAATCTGCTGGGTACATCTATAAATTAACAATGCAATTTTCAATAAATTTCTGAATATGAAAGTAATTGTAATAGATTTACTTTTAATGAAATATACTCAATTGCAGCCTAGATTTGTGGTAGATACGAAATGCTTCCTATGCTGAGTAAGACTAGCATTCATCAGCAAATTCCTAACTGTACAGATTAACCGCCTGCCCTTTACGTAAAAATTTACACAAAATAGTACATTTTCATTCATCTTTATCCAAGGCTAGTAGAGGTTTTGCATCTTGGAATGAAGCAATTGTGCTTTTTTTTTTTAACTAATAAGAACTGCAAACCATTGAATTTGATAGTAGTTAAAATTAACATCATTATTTTGTTTTTTCTGGATCTTACATTACACTGAAAAATGCTTTAAAAAGGATTAAAAACTGTTATATAAGTTATCAGATACTTCAGGGAAAGTGCAAGGAAATTCTCTCAAAAATTGCATAAAACATACATTTAAATGCAATGTATACACTGATTAAGGATAGTTATGACCAGTTTGATAAACTTAAATTAAAAAGATACAAAGACTTCTAGCCTAGAGGAAAGAAATAATTTAGATCTCATACTTTAGTATCACTCTTTTATGGTGGCTCAGCAATCAGATTCATGCGATTTTTGTATTCTAGATGTTTACCCTAAATCTTCGAATGAAGCAATTGTGCTTTTTTTTACTAATAACAACTGCAAACCATTGAATTTGATAGAAGTTGAAATTAACATCATTATTTTGTTTTTTCTGGATCTTTCATTACACACTCAAATCTGTCATAGATAAATAATTTTGAATGCCTGAAATGTATTAGTTTCTCTTTTTTATCCTTTTTTCTTCTAACAATTTTTTCTTGTAAGATAAAAAAAATAAAATATCAATGGTTCTATTTTCTCCCAGCATTTTCTGGAATGATTGACAGTTAAAGAAAGCAGAAATACAACGCCTTTGAGAACATTTTTACCTTTTCTCCCACAGAGAATAGAAAATCTTTAGATAATATTTTTATGAAAAATATATTGTTCTTGTGTAGAAGTTATATGAAAATCATCCATTTTTCAGTTGTACCTTATTTTTCTTATATTATGAGAAAAATAAGACAAATGAGATATTCAGGTTTCTACCAACTCTTATCGCATTTCTTTTCCTGGATTTCAGTTTTGTTGCCAATTACCACTGGTTGTCCATTGAGCATGATCAGACATCATCAGATTATTATTATTTTTTTGCCTTTCCCTGAAAGGTATTTTATACTTCAGTAAAAATCAAATTTCATTTTAACCCATGTTATTCAGATTAGTTCATGAATATCTAACACCATAGCAGGGCAATAGGACCAATGAAAATGAAAGCAGATACCATGTTACAACACAAAACAAAATTTGCATATATTTAAAAACTATTTCAGTACTCATTTCCTGATAGTAAATATCCTGCTATTTCTATCCATTTCATAAATTTTGTCAAGTGTAGAGTGACTGTCCATAATACTTCCTTTTCTAAAAAGTGAAATTATCAACCCCTATATATAATATTGCTAAATCTGATTTTTAAAAAGTGTTGTTAGATGTTATTTATTTTACTGCACCACTGTTTCCTGTATAAACATCAACGTACCAATATGGTATATTGCTAAAAAGAGTTACCACATCCAGTGTAACTGAATAACTGAACTTGCCACTGAGCAGTAATTATGAAGTTTTTGTATATCTAATGTAGTGTTTCTCAACCTTGGCAACTTTAAGATGTGGACTTTAACTTCTAGACTTCCGCAGCCAGCTAGTTCACCTGACTTAAATTTGTCTTAAATATCCCTAATATGAGGGATAAATGAATGAATGAATCAGAGTCAGGATATTGAAGTATCTGATGGAAGGAATACTGAAGCTTAATTCCCTGTTTCTTGGAAAGAACAGTTGCCAACAATGGCCAGATTTTTGGCTAGAGACAGACTTGGATAAGCTGTTGACAAATTGGTCATTCATGGAAGGCACAGAAATAACAATGGTGTCAATAAAAGGGTCAGAAGTTGTGCTTCCCTCTCTTAGCTCAGCCAACATCTCTTTCTGTGTCTTCTGATGCAGTTCTTGAGGATCCTATAGCTTTCCAAGCAGCATTCTAGAAGCCACAGAATGCTACCAGGCAATTGTGAAGATCACTTCTTAGGGAGCTCTGCTAAGCGGTGATCTTATATGTAAAAAATGGATATAGAAAAACCTTAGAAAACCATTCTCCACTGTATATATTTGAATGACACTTAGGGCAGAACTTTGTATTGGCTAATCCTCCATAAAAGAGATGTCCAACTGAAACAGGAAAAGCTTTTATTGAATAATGTTAGTGCTAGGAGTTTAGTAAACCACACAAAAATTTGGTTTTCAAATTTCAGCTTTCTCCACTACGGTGCAATTACCGAATGTTTCTGTAATATTTAGCTGTTAAAGAAAGGTAGTTTACAAATATTAAGTAAGTAAAGAACTAGTTGCCATCAAGACATCAAGTTGCCATCAGTTTCAGTCCATCCTTTAGAAAGAGTTTCAATGTATGTAAGGCCCAGACTCTCACCCCTTCAAAGGATAAGAATGAACTTCTGAAAAACTGGTTACTTCAAAAGGAATTCTTTATTGTAAAAAGGAAGTTATTCAAGTACTAGTCAAAGCAGGGTCTAATATGCCTCCAGGCATACAGCATAGATAAAGAGAGTTAGAACACCTCCCCTTATTCTGATGTGGATTTAGTCAATACAAAAAAGCAACATGTTAATCCCCCCCCCCTTTTCTGGGAATGTAGTTGAGATAAGTTTCCCAAGAAGTTTCTTTCGGAGCTGTAATTTTTATGGCCCCTTCTCCTTTTGCTATCTCTCCAAGAGGTGACAAGTTTCCAGGCACCTGGGCTCCAGTCACCAGTTGTATATCATGTGCAAGTTATACAGATTCAATACAAGACTTAAGATATTAAGGTTACATCAAAAAGGATTACTTGTACCAACTCCCCCCTCCCCTTCTTCCATTGAAGAATGGCAGATACACAGATCTGACAGAGTTCCTGCTTCCATTTTAGTTTTTATCCTGTAACTGAGGGGAACATATTTATCCAGCTATACCAGTCAATGGAAATAAATTATTTATGTTCGATACTAAAGAAAGTTAATTGTTATGAAAGGGGAAGTCATATATTTATATATTTCTTTTTTTGTCTTCTTTCTTTTCTGCGTTTTGATTTTTTTTCATATTTTCTCATTCCTTTGAAACTTTTTGATCAACCCTTTATATTTAGAATTATATCTGTTTGTCTCTAATTTTACATATAAAGTACCGCATGTGCTAAATGCTGCCTTTTTAAAAGTATTCTGTTTTTTACATTCTGTACTGCGAAAAACATGTTTCCATATCTGAATGTGAGTTAATAGTGTTCTTTGTGTACACTTAAGCATTCTTGGTATTGCACAAGTGTTTACTCCTAAATGGATTTCTTTTTCCTCCTTGCCTGCATGCTTAGTATAAAAGCAAAAAAAAGGTAGAGATTTGCTCTTGTGCCATATTTTGGAAGATCTAAAAGGGCTTCAGTACAGAAATCAGAGAAAACACTCAATGAAATCGATAATGGTGATCAATATCAAAAGAAAAATCAGACTAAATTAACTATTTTTTAGATAATCCAAAGGATTATCCAATAGATAATCCAACAGATAACTATTCCTTTCCATGGCATTGGAGTGAATGTAAGGAGAGAGTCTTTTTCAGGCTAAGCTCAACTGTTAGCAACCTCATGGATATATTCATATTTTTCTTTGCAACAGTATTGATGAGATTTACTATTTCATTGTTGGGTTATTTAGATTTTCTTAAAACTTCCAAATCTAGCTTGGCTTTCTTCCAAATAAACACTAATCAGACTTGACCTGCTTTGATTTTGAGATCAGCCATGATGGGGGGGGGGTGTTAACACCTAATGGGTTGTTGTTATAACACAGACTGAAAGATAAGACATTCTGAAACCATCATAGTTTAAGAGTTTTGTGGTTTCATCTTAGATGTGGTTTCAGCTTAGGTGAAAGATGTTAATGTAAATTCTAATATATCACTGTTAAAAAATAACCCCATAGCCCCCAGTTCTTTCAAAATCAGCCTCATCTTATTTTTATGTTAAGGACCACTTTAACCCCCCAAAAAATTTTTTAGATCAGCTGTTTTCATACTTGCTTTTATTTTAAAGGAACACCCAGCTTCCAAATGGGATTCTGTACATTCAGTAATGGTAACTCATGCCTCATAAAGAAACCTATCATGACTGAATTTCCCCAGAAAAATGAATCTGCATTTCAAGTGTGAATACTACCTGCGGGGCATGTCAGTGAATATGAGTGT